TTAATTAAGGCAATATATACATGTTACCGCAACAATCTTTTGACTGTAACTTGAGGATCTGTATTCAGCCTATTCATCTAAGAGTTGTATCAAGTTCTCTAAAAGTACATTTTAAAAGATAGCACTAAAGCACAGTTCTATTTCTAGCTTATTAATAGGTCTGTATGCCTTGCTGAATTTTTTTCCTTCTTTTGCCTAGCCAATTTTGGTTGTACCATTTCTGGTGGCTTATCAAAACCTTTATGAATAGATAAAGCTTAACTAGTACCTTGTTTAAAGTATAGAAATATTTTCTTCAGTAAGTTGCATTGTGAAACATTTTATGCTTATGTTTCCTTCAGAGGTCAAATAGGCAGAATGGTCATGAAAATCATTCTTCTGTATGTTTCTGTTTTATATATACTATTTGATTCCTTCCTTCTTGCAACAGCATGTAAAGTACCTCTCACTGTCAGTAAGCACCAGTATTGTCAGTACTGGAGAACCAAGGCAAAATGGGATTCATTTGATCTGGAGCATAAATTCCACTGGAGAAGACATATTATAATCAGTAAATGAATAAGTAAAAATATATAATGCAGCAGGAAGTGGAGAGAATTGCTCAGAAAAAAAGTAAAGCAGGCTGAGACGAAAGTATACGGCAGGTTTGGGGCTGACTCTCTTTATCTAGAGGATCTGGAAGGCCTGGGTGATTGGGTATAACTGCCCATTCATTTAAGTTTTACTACATAGTAGAAGCAACTGGTAGACCCACATAATCTTCCACATCTTCATAAAGACTGGAATGAAACGAGGCAGCAAGTTACACTCAAGTGTGAGGGGAAGGCCTTCCAGGCAGAAAGGATAACAAGTAAAAAGGCACTAACACTCTGGTAAATTCTGGAACCATCCAAAAGCCCCATGTGTGCAGAGCAAGGAAAGGCCAGGGAGCAGTGGGAGATGAGGATGGAGACATACACAGGGGACAGGATGGTACTGGAGGCTAGGATTCTATGGACTGTGGTGGAAGCCAATGGAAGATTCTGAGCAGGACAGCCATGATTTGGTGTCCTTCGACTGTACATCTTTTGCTGCTCTAGTAAAGTGAAAAGACTGGAAGAGAGACAGCTCGGGAAGTGGAGCGAGGTGAGTACTGGCATGTTGAGCATGATACATTTGAGACATCAGGAGGAGAGGCTGGATGTCAGTAGTGTGATCATGAGCCTGGAGCACAGAGCAGAGGTACAAAACTGGAAGTCATCAACACAGAGGTTAGCTTAGGGCCACGAGGCTGCTGCAGATCACTCAGGGATCGTATTAGCTCTCTGGGGCCAATGTCATAACCTCCCATTAATTTGGTGACCTCAAACAACAGAAAGTATTGTTTCTCACAATTGAGGAAACTGAAGTCCTAAATCCAGCAAGGTCATGCGCTCTTGCAGGGCTGTCCTTGGTGGCGGTGGGATCACAAGTCTCTTTTGGCCTCTGGACCTTAGCACTGAGATACATCCCCACCCTGGCTGTCAGTGCTCCTTGCCTTGTAGCCACATCATTTCTACCTCTACTTCTGTGATCACATCACCTCCTTACTTCCATCTGTCAGATCTCCCTTTGTCTCTCTCTTAGAGAGACGCTTGTCATTGCATTAAGAGGACTCTCAGATAATCCAGGATACATATGTCCTTTCACAATCTTTAAATGAATCCCATTTTGCCATCTAAGGTAATAGTCACTCTTTAATCGTAGACATTAGCAGTAGCACCTTGATGTCTTTTGATGTCATCATTCGCTCCGCACAACAAGCAGTTAGTGTGGACTGAAAAGAGGAGCAGTCCCTTCACAGGTCACAGAGAGACCTCAAAGCCAGTAAGGAGGAAACTGAGGCAGTTCCGTTAGAGAGAGGAGGACAGTACAGTGGTTGTGCGGGAGACATGTTTCAGCAAGGAGATGATCCACTATGTGAAAGGCTGCTGAGTGACAACAGCATAAGCACTGACTTAGATTATCAGGCTTACTAAGACAGGGCTCACTGGTGAACTTGGCCAGAACTGCACTCAAAGACTGACCTACATGAATGTACCACAGTCCTCAGTTCTGAGTCTAATCTTCAAGAATATTGCAGTCGTGTATTAGCTGTAGGGTTGTAGCTGGCCAAGTCCTTCAGATCTAAAATGTTATCTAGTTATTTGCTTTCATACAAAACAAATAATTGGATGGATGTATTGTATCAATAATGTCATTTCTTCAAACAAATTGTTATATATGCATGGTAAAAGTTCATCAATCATGAGGAAAACTAAAAGGGCTATGATTTTAAATTTTATCTAAAGTGCTGCTGTGTTTCCTTAGCTCTTTTTGTTAGCTCATTTCTTTGGCATGTTGCTCTGAGACTTTTCTAAAACCATCCCCAAGTTAAGTGATATGATTGCTTAGGAGTAGGCAAAGAGTAACGCTACCAACAAAATGTCACCCTACACCTTTTGGGATGGGTCTCACTGCTGTGAATGGCTGATCTTCCACAGGACTTGCAGCAGTGTTGATGGGGAGACCTTATCAGAGATAATGGGGCTGTGCTAGAATGGTTTCTAGGCCTAAATCCCAGGTTATGTGAAATGGGGTTGGTAAAAGAACAAATTAAATGAATACCAGGAATATAATCAGCCATATTCAGCATGTGGAAAATGTGTGTGTGGCTATAAATATAGATATAGATAGTATTGATGAAAATAAGATCTTTTTACTTTTAATGTAGAATGAAATTACTACGAAAGGAATAATAAAAATATAGGTTGTCTTTTATTTTGCCTTCCTCTAAAAACCCTTATGGAAATATGCCAGACTTGGTCTCCAAAACTAATTCTGTCATAGGATGTACCACCGGGAGGCTGTTTTGGGTATAACTTCCCATTCGTTTAAGTTTTGCTGCATAGTAGAAGCAACTGGTAGACCCACATAATCTTACACATCTTCATGGGTTTTACAATAGGAAACTTGTGGCAGAAACTATTTTTATTCATCAAGTATCCTGGGTACCTTTTTTATCTCAGCATCTCTTGAGGTGATGCTGTGACCCTATAACTAGTTCTCTCTGCTGCAGTGAGAATAGACTTAATTTGGGGCTAAGAAAGCTTCAGGTCAGAGTGCCTCTTCTATCTCCATCCTCCCCACAGTGATTTTGGGGGCTGAAAAATCACTTGTGTCATCATGAACTAAAGAAATAGGTGTTCCTTACTTTTCTTTCTTTTTTTAAATTACTTTTTATTGAAAACTGCCCTGAATGCTAAATGTCCACCTTTACAATAAAAAAATACAGTCACAATAACTCACACTAAAACAAAGTATATTTCTGATAGTCATTATTTTTCTGTTTGGGACAGTTTAAGGTTTTTCTTTTGTCACAAAAACAGGAATGTACCTATACAGAGGTTCAAAATAGGCCATCTTTTTAAACAAAAAGGCAATGATTCACAAAAGACTATGAATAGAACATGTAACTAGTTGATACAAATCTGATAGGATTTGTTAAAATCAGTCACATCTAATAACACAGCTGAAGTGTTTTTGTATAAAATATCACATGAAGAAAAGAATTTATCAATGTCTAAAAAAGTGTGTTTGTTCATAGACAATTTGCCAAGTTACCATAAAAATGTTTCCTGAGACATAAGGAGATGCAACATTATTCTTCTTGAACCCTACTTTGATTTTCTTTATTCTCTTTTTATGGACCAATTATTAGCTGGATGTTAGACTTTCTCAGTTGATCTAATTAAATTAATTCCCTTATTTCCAGTTGTTATCAGTTTATTTGTTTTATTTCTTTTCCTGCTTCATGGAACTCAGTTGGAATTTGACCATGTGCAATAGAAATTTCAGCTAAGCTACAGGGCTCAGACATTACCATGAGCTGTTTTTGCATGTGCTAGTACTGTTCTGGTCAGAAAATCACATGCAGGTGAGGAATGGCTACTTGGGAATGACATCACACATGATCTAGCACATTCTGCTTTGGAGGAAAGTCAGAAGGTTTAGGGGTATATTTTGCAGTAAATAAAAGTTGAAATGACTAGACTTCATATATATTTTAATGTTATTAAAAGCCAATCCTCAGCTATAGGGTTCTGGCTGGCCAAGTGCTTCAAATTTAAAATGTTTTCTGATTATTTTCTTTTAATATAAAACAAAATAATTGAATGGATGTGTTCAATCCTGTTATGTGATCCTCAGTGCGTGCATAAACTCTCTGGTCTGACTTCTGATCTGTTAAATGGGAATTCGTAGGTCATACACTGTAGGTGCATAAATGTCAAGCTCTTAGAAGAGTACCCATCCTGTAGAACATCATTCTTCCTCCCCTCTTCTCCTTCTCTGCCCTTAAATTGCTTCTTTTAAGTGCTATGATGTAGCTGGATTGTAAGTAAAAGAAATTACATTGAGCTCTGAGTTCAGGAACGTTTTGTGTTCTGTCCACCCTGTTGGAAAGGCAGGACCCTGGCAGGGGTATTGTTTCCCAAAAGAAACATAGTCTAGGAGATGAAAATCTCACCCCAGCTTGGTGAATTCTATCATGTGGTTGGAATTCAAGTACCATTTACTGTTTCAAATTGTGTCCTCTTGCCTCCCTTCACTAAAAGACTACAAAGGAGAAAGAACCAAAGATGCATTGTAAAGTCCTAATAGTCATGTGGGTGTTTTTGAACGCTTCAGATTCAACAGATCAGTTAGGTTTACCGAAAGGAGTCAGAGGACAAAAGCACCCAGGCCTGAAGAAGCTCAGACTTCTAGGGCCAGCTTGGAAGTATTAGAGTGGGCCAAGGAGACAGAAAAGGAGAACGCCCAGGGGAAGAACAAGTGGAAGCAGAGTCGTCCAGGAAGGTGAATAGAGGGAGAGAGAAAACCAAAGCCTGTGATTCCTGACTGGCGGTGGGGTCACTTGGTTGTACAAATCCTCACGAGTCAAGGAGCCCCCGGAAAGTCACAGGAGCATTGCGCTGATCGCCTCGTGTCTCTCTGTCTCTTAGGTGAAAGCCTCCGATGCAGATGCGGGGCTGTACGGCTTGGTTGAGTATTCACTTTACGATGGATTCCAAAGCGATGAGGCACCTGCAGCATTCCAGATCAACCCGCACGACGGGCAGATATGTGTGTCTCAGGACCTTGACAGGGAAAGGGACCCAGCTACCTTTGATCTCCTGGTGAAGGCCAAGGATGGGGTAAGTCTTTAGGTTACAGAATTTCAAACATCCTCAGGAGTGACCCCCAGTGTCCACGACAGAGTACCAGTGATTATCAGCAATTGGCTATTCACTAATTGGGTCTTATGTACCCACTACTCCGCCTTTTCTCTTTTGAGATGGAATCTCACTGTGTAATACAGGCTGGTCTCAGATTCACTCTGTAGCCCAAATTGACCTCAGATTCATGATCCTCCTGCCTCAGGCTTCCAAGTGCTGGGATTACAGATGTGTGCCACCACACCCAGCTCACCTCACCTTCTCCTACTGCTGGGGGTCTTTGACACAAACACCACAGATTATATCATTTTATCTAGCAATAATTAAGTAATATCTCTAAGAGATGATTTTGTAAAAACATAACTACAATGCATTAGTAATATTTGATGACATGTAATGTTCATTCCATGTTAACTTTTCTGGATTATTTAAGCATCTCTTAATAATTGGTTGTTTGAATACACACCCAAATAAGTTCACAAGCTGATTTGATTGTGAGAGCCTTTAATTTCAGTCTGCATTAGTCAGCCTTTCCTTTATCTTCAATGGCATTTTAAAAAAAGAAATCAGGTCATCTGTCCTCTACATTTTCCACATGCTGGATATGGTTGATTCCATTCTTGGAATTCATTTAATTTGTGCTTTTATCATCTCTGTTTCCTATAAGTGGGCATTTGGGACTGGAAACCTAGTTAGTGTCAGATTCACTTAGGTGATGTCCTGTATTTCTCAGTGTACCAGCAGACACACACCATTATTTTTGTGCAATGGTGATTTTCCAATTCTATTACTCCTTTAAATTTACTATCTGGAATGCTTAAACTAAAAGAGTGCTTGCATCAATTGTTTTCTTACCCTGGCATATAATTCATGTAGGAAACTCAGTATATTTATATCTCTTTATTTTACAAGTTTTTAGAATAGCATACTAGTGCCTTAATATCCCAAAGATTACCAATGTATTTTTTCTGTGATTATAAACTTCTGGATTTTATATAATTGACCCATGTCAATGCATGGCTCATCTTGTCCTTTCCTATATTTACATTGACCCAACTTTGATTAATCAAAGTACTTTCAATCTTGTTCTTAGTGTTTCTTTTTCAGTTTGTAGATTGACACATCAAATGCATATAAAAAAGAGAACAAATTATAATTATATAACTTCATGAAATTCTGTGAAATGAACACACTCAAAGAAGAAGATGAAGAAATAAAACTAGCACTCCAAAGCTCCTTTCTTGACATTTCACTGGAATGTTCTTCCCAACTTCTCCCTACCCATGTCTTTTAAGGACAACCACTATGAGCTTTTAACACCAAATAGTAGTATGCTGATGACTTAACTTTTAGTGAATGGAATCATACCATATGTATTTCTCCTTAATTTCTTTTACTGAACGTTATTTGTGAGAGTCATGTACACTATTAAGTGTAAAAATAAATCATGCATTCTCATTGGTTTACAATATGCCCTTCTGTGACTATGTGATAATCTTCTCTCTATTCTGTAATTGATGGTATCCATTTTAGGTTACTATAAATAGTGCTACTAACATCGTTTTTAATATTAAGCTTATTTTTAACTGACACATAAAAATTGTACCTGTAAATGGAGGAGCAGGTGGAGTTTTGATACTAGCATACATCACGTAATGTTTCCATCAGGTTAAACATATTCATCTCCTCATACATTTATCATTTCTCCATAGTAAAAACAAAGTCTTTTCTCCTAATCTTTTGAGGAGCTCACTGTTTAATTGTTATCTGCCGGTACACGGCTGTGCAGCAGTGTGGCAGTTTCTCCCTCCTGTCCAGCTGTAACTTACCCACCGAGCAGTTCTCCCCTCCCCACCCCCAGTTTCCCAGTCTCCAGTAGCACCATTCTGCTTTCAATTTCCATGAGCTCAGCGTTTTTGGATTCCACGTTTGCATGAGATCATAATGTGCTCACTTGTCTTTCCGTGCCTGGCTTATTTCTCTTGACAAAATGATCTCCAGTTGCATCCATGTTCTTGCAGATGACAGGATGTCATTCTTTTCTCTAAATGAGTATTACTTCATTGTTTATATGTACCACATACTCGTATCCAATCACCAGTGGATGGACACTTAGGTTGTTTCCATTCTTGGCTGTGGTGTAGAATGTAGCACTGAATGTGGAAGTGCAGGTGTCTCTTTGGTAGACTGATTTCATTTTCTTTGAATGTATACCTAATAGTGGGATTGCTGAACCATACTGGAGTTCCATTTCTAATTTTCTGAGAACTTTCCATAGTGTTCTTCCATAATAGGCGTGCACATCCCCCCCAAGTTATCCTTAGTTGTTTTGTTGTAATATGAATTTTTACTGTGCTGAGATACTATCTCATTTTGGGCTTGCTTTGCACTTCCTTAATGATTAATGTGTTACTTACTTTTCTCTCATTGCTGAGACAAAATATCCAACAACCAAAATTAGAGAAGGAAAGGTTTATTTAGGTCATGGTTTGTGAAGGTTTCAACCCATACTCAGCTGGCTCCAAGGCAGGGTAGCAAGGCACAGGGGCAACAGTTCAAGTTGACAGAAGACAGCAAAAGCAACTTGGGGAACAAGCCTCTTTTCCTCCCTTATGTTGTAAGCGGACTACTCCCACCCAGGGTGGCTGTAGCACTCGCACCATCTCTGTGCCCTCCTCTTACCCAGGATAAGGATGTTTGCAAATTGAGTACCCAGGCCCCCCACTGAATTGCTTCATTAATCTTCTAAACTTCTCAAATTGACACATCAACCATTACAATTAGTGATGTTGACCATTTTTCATGTACCTGTTGGACATTTGTATGTTTTCTTTTGAGACAAGTCTATTTAAGTCTGTTGCCTCTTTATTTAAAAAGTCAGATCATTTGTTGTTGTTTGTTTTTGCACTTGAAATTTGAGGATTCTTTATATATTCTGATATCAATCCCTTATCAGATGTGTACTTTGGAAATATTTTCTCCCATTCTCTAAGTTCTATTTGTATTTTGCTGATGGTTTCCTTTACTGTGGGGAAGATTTTTTGATATAATCCCATTTGTCCATTCACATTCTTATCCTTTTGATTTGGTTAACAAACATTAACATTTCTATTGACTGTATATTCAGGAGTGGAATAGCTAGATCATAAGAAGCCCAAACAACTTTTCAATGTAGTTTACCAACATATACTCCATCAATAGAATATGATAATTGCATTTGCTCTACATTCTCTCTAACAATTGATATTGAATATTTTTTTAATTATGGCAATTCTAGTTATCTGTTTAGTAATGTATTACATTGAGGTTTTACTTTGCATTTTCTTGATGAATAATAAATTGAGCATTTTGTCACGTATTTATTGGCTATTTATGTAACACTTTGGGACATACTGTTTCTTTACCTGTTTTCCATCCTTATTGCTTTATATGAATTCTTTATATATTTAGCATGCAAGTCCTTTGTTGGATAGACTTATTACATATATTTTCTCCCATTCTGTTGATTGCCATTTTTTGTCTTTAGTGATGACTTTTGAAGAGCAAGAGTTCTTCTTTCTAATATAGCTCAGTCTGTTAGTTTGTTTCCCTTTAGAGCTAGTGTCTTTTGTTTCCTTTAGAGCATTTGCTTACTTTAGGGATGTGAAAGTGTTCTCTTCTGTTTTCTTTATTTGACTGGTTCATTGGTTACCCTCCACACATTTTTTTTTTGTCTAATGGAAGAAAGTCTTATTATCCTTCAAATGGTCAGTTAACTCAATAACATTTATTGAAATAGTTACTCTTTCTTCAATGCCCCAGACTGTCACTACTGTCATGAGCGTGGTTGTGTATGTGTGTGTCTATTCCTGGACACCCTCTTTGTGACTGTTTGTCTGACTCAGTGCCAACAACATAGTCTCTTATTTATTTTATCTTTATAATTGACTACAGTATTATGTATTCTTGCTTTGTCCTTATTCAGAATTGATGAATATTTCTGACTGTTTACATTTCCAAATGCATTTGAGAAACATCTCTTTCAGTTACATTGCATTATCCCAAAGATATACTAGTGTACACATTGTTCTACACTTTGATTTTTTCCTCACTTACTGTATCTTGAAGGCTTTACTTTTTCTCCACTTAGCATATTTTGAAGCCTTTCCATGTTTCACAGTTGAAATTTGGGGATTCTTTATATATTCTGGATATCACAGAATATACATTTTTTTTATATGTTTACTACTCCTTTGTATAGTTACATACTGCTAATATTTCTCTGGTCTATTTTTTCTCTCTGGAAATTGTTGGGAGAATCTACTTATTTGAAATGAATTATTTGGTTAAACAAGTCAAATAACATTTACCACAAGTAGCTATATAAATACAAACATGAAAGCAAAACCATTTATAGTCAACAGAGTACTTTGATCTATTTGGTTAGATTTTTGTGAATACCTTCAATAATATCTACTTCTGTGTAAGAAAAGATGTCAAAGACAAAACCAAGGATAAACAGAGGAGTTTAAATTAATTCAAGTCTGTGTGATTGTTTACATAGCCAATATATGCACACAAAGTATTAATCCAAGGCTTTAGAAATATATTCTTAATAGATTTTGAGACCATTGTAAATGACCATCTTAGAATTGAATAACAGATTAAATCCAATACTACAGTAATCAAACATCTTTTTCTAGTTATTGGGTTTCAGATCATCTTATGATTGTGGATATAGAAGTGATCTTTACACAGTGAAGATAATTTGGTTCATAAATGCTTAATTCTTCTGCCCAAAATAGTGCATTAATTAGAAGCACTAATTAATAGTGTATTAATTGGTAGTAAAATGAAAAAAACCATCTAGATATTTAATTAAAACTCCCTTCCTTGCTTCTCTTCCATGCTGAACCTACTCTGCAGAGCTATGCTGTGAAGAACAGATTCCCTGTTGCTACACTTAAGTGTGTCTTTAACCGCCCCACACCCTCCGTAAA